GGTGTGGTCATCCGCCCTGGGGGGTGGTTTCTCGCTTTCTATCTCTCTGTCTTTCTCTGTCTGTCAAGCGAGATCACATGCCCTATGGAAAAACCTCTCAAAAAAAAAAAAAAAAAAAAAAAAAAAAAAGAAAGCGAGAAATCACCCCCCGGGGGGGGGGTTTGAGTCGGGCACACAGTGGCTCACTTTCTCTCTCTCTGTTTCTCTCTGGTGAGCATGCATGCCCTATAGCAAATTTTAAAATAATAATAAATAAAAATAATTCTTTTTATAAAAAGGTGTTTTTCCTTCTCTTGTTTTTACTAAAGGCGCATACTGTATGTACAAACTGTTTCCTAAAGCAGTGTTTCTCAACTTAAATTTGCAAACAGTTCACATGGGGATCTTTTTAAAATGCATTTTCCTGAGTGGGGCCTGAGAATCTGCATTTGTAACAAGCTCCCAAGATGGCAATGTTGCTAGTCCTTTTGAGCATGCTGAAGAGCAAGTTCTAATGTACTTTGGATATAGGAATAAATTTGACCCCATAAGAATATAGACTCTTTCTGCAACTATCTGTGACCCTTAACTTTCTAGAAGTTACTGGGAGACCTTGCTTGACTGGTTGCTACTACTGGATCTACTGGATAGATTTGCTTCTTACAGATTTAAACACTTTTATTTTTAGATCACTATTTAGAAATGATTCCAATACTATGTTTTTATTTATAAATGTGTTTTATTTAATAAATATATTTTTCTTAGTGTCGTAGAAAAAAATATATACTTGACACCTAAATTTCAATTTGCAGCATACAGACATATCTCTTATCTATAACTTAGTCATTAGGATCTCATTTTATATATATTTTCAGGGTTATACACACAAAAACAATGGAATATGATATATATTAGTTGATGACTAGCTTCATTGTAATATTTGTTCTTGCATAGTTATATATTAGCATTGAAAAAAGATGAATGCTTCTTTCTTTTTTCAAATAGCTCAATCACTGAAAGAATTTGCGAGACTGCTCATTGCAGTGGAAGAAGAAAGGCGAAGATTGGTAAGTCTGCTCCCTGTTTTTTTTTTTTTTTTTTAAGGACTTTTGCTTTGTTAGAATGTACTGAAAGAAAGAAGATCTCCAGGATTATATAGCTACATAAGACTTCCTGATATGATACATATGCTAAATGCTACATGTGTTCATGACAAGAGTGATGGGTATAATTATCACATCTTTCCAATAAGATACAATATGCTATTTATTTTATTTGTTCAGCAGACATTAGTTGCCTGTATTTTGCTTGC